TCTCATGTGTGTGTCTCATGTGTGTCTCTCATGTGTATATCATGTGTATATCTCATGTGTGTATCTCATGTGTATATCTCATGTGTGTGTCTCATGTGTGTCTCTCATGTGTATATCATGTGTATATCTCATGTGTGTATCTCATGTGTGTTTCTCGTGCATATCTCATGTGCATATCTCATGTGTATACTGTATCTCGTGTGTGTCTCATGTGTGTATCTCATGTGTATATCTCATGTGTGTGTATCTCATGTGTATATCTCATGTGTGTATCTCATGTGTATATCTCGTGTGTGTCTCATGTGTGTATCTCATGTGTCTCTCATGTGTATCTCATGTGTGTATCTCATGTGTATATCTCATGTGTGTGTCTCATGTGTGTCTCTCATGTGTATATCATGTGTATATCTCATGTGTGTATCTCATGTGTGTATCTCATGTGTGTTTCTCGTGCATATCTCATGTGCATATCTCATGTGTATACTGTATCTCGTGTGTGTCTCATGTGTGTATCTCATGTGTATATCTCATGTGTATGTCTCATTTGTGTATCTCATGTGTATATCTCATGTGTGTGTATCTCATGTGTATATCTCATGTGTGTATCTCATGTGTATATCTCGTGTGTGTCTCATGTGTGTATCTCATGTGTCTCTCATGTGTATCTCATGTGTGTATATCATGTGTGTGTCTCATGTGTGTCTCTCATGTGTATATCATGTGTATATCTCATGTGTGTATCTCATGTGTATATCTCGTGTATACTGTATCTCGTGTGTGTCTCTCATGTGTATCTTATGTGTATACTGTATCTCGTGTGTGTCTCATGTGTGTATCTCATGTGTGTGTCTCATNGTGTCTCATGTGTGTATCTCATGTGTGTGTCTCATTTGTGTATCTCATGTGTATATCTCATGTGTGTGTATCTCATGTGTATATCTCATGTGTGTGTATCTCATGTGTATATCTCATGTGTGTGTATCTCATGTGTATATCTCGTGTGTGTCTCGTGTGTATCTCATGTGTCTCATGTGTATCTCATGTGTGTATCTCATGAATGTGTATCTTGTGTGTGTATCTCATGTGTATATCTCATGTGTGTGTCTCATGTGTATATCTCATGTGTATATCTCATGTGTGTATCTCATGTGTGTGATGCATTAAATACAGTAAACAGATTTCCTCATTGTGTATACATGCACTGATGAGAACACAGTTCATACAGTAAAGTATTTTGTGTTAATCTAAGCTGTAACAGTGAATCTGTAAACTTCACTGTTTGTTGGTCTCCATCAGCATCACCTTCAGCTGCTGATCAAACATGTTCTTGTCTCTGGTCACCAGCTGGTGTTGAGAAAACTCTTCATGTTCTATACCAGATCTGTAGCTTACCTGACGGAAACAGACTGAGCTGCTGAGAAACAAGTTCTGCTTCCAGGTTAGAACTCAAACAAAACAGAACAACTGGACTTCCATATTGTAGCTGATCTTTCTCACTTTAAACTCAGGAGTGAGGTGATCCAAGCTTTAAACTGCATGAAATGACCTTTAATACCACTGAATCCATGCAGAGTACTCTCCTTCCTTCCTTCCTGAGGATCAGCAGGGTCTTTACACGCTTAAAGATTTGAATTTGAGGGAAATCATCTTTGAGCCAGGTAAACACAGACCCTGTTCACACGNTGTATATCTCATGTGTATGTCTCATGTGTGTATCTTTTGTGGATCTCATGTGTGTATCTCGTGTATATCTCATGTGTGTGTCTCATGCGTATATCTCAAGTGTATCTCTCATGTGTGTGTCTCGTGTGTATCTCATGTGTATGTCTCATGTGTGTATCTTATGTGTATCTCATGTGTGTATCTCATGTGTGTATCTCATGTGTGTATCTATTGTGTATCTTGTGTGTATATCTCATGTGTATATCTCATGTGTGTGTATCATGTGTATATCTCATGTGTGTGTATCTTGTGTATCTCATGTGTGTGTATCTTGTGTGTGTATCTCATGTATGTGTATCTCATGTGTATATCTCATATTTGTGTGTATCTCATGTGTGTATCTCATGTGTGTGTATCTCATGTCTGTGTATCTCATGTGTGTATCTCATGTCTGTATATCTCATGTGTGTGCATCTCGTGTGTAGATCTTATGTGTATATCTCATGTGTGTGTCTCATGTGTATATCTCATGTGTGTGTCTCATGTGTATATCTCATGTGTGTGTCTCATGTGTATA